CACACACTGACTTGTGGTGGTGGTGAATCCTTAACACGATTTTGCAAAGTTGGCGAAAAACGAAAAAGAAAAAAAAAACTGCTGAATGACCGAGGCGTTATGTTCTTTTGGGTGAATACTTCAACAGTTGAGGGTATAATTTGCAGATTTTCCAACGATACAATAATTGGAAAAGAAAAAAAATTATCCAAATGCTTTGAAATTATTATGAATTAAAAAAAAACGAGTAGAAAAGCAGTAAGTTTGGCCGAACTTTGAATACCTTTCACCATTTTGGAAGGAATTTGAAAATTTAAAAAATAAAATACCTTGAAAAATACTGCTGAAGTCATAAAAATACCGAATATAGGAAGTTACCGTAATATTAGGGTCTATAAGAAGACGTGGACCTGCATAGTCAAGCTTTGTCATAGGCCAATTACAATATTCAAATACGAAAATTAAAATTAAATTAAAAATCGGTGAAATGACGCAAAAATATCAAAATACCGAATGTGGGGAGCTACCGGGGATATGCGACAACCTGGACTTGCATATGCAATTTTCTGTCATAGGCTGTAGTACCCGATTTTATGAATATAAAATGGAGGATTTATGCGTTTGAAACACATTTGGAATATTTTTAATGATCTGTAGATAAATACCAACATATTGTTGCTAATGTAGCTTTTTGAAACTTCCATCTATAGGTAGGGACCCATAAATGCGAGTGAGAAGGAGGACGAAATGGGAGTTTCCTACGAAGAAATCTTGTGAATGCCATTACGTTGGAATATTGTTGAACATCCTGGATTCGGCTTCTTCAAAACGTCCATATATAGATAAGAACCTATAAATACGAGTGAGAAGGAGTCTGGAGTAGAAGTCTCCTGCGAAGAAATCTTGTGAATGCCATTGCTTTGGAATATTGTGGAACATCCTGGATTGAGATTCTCTAAAATTTCCATGTTTATCAATACATGGAAGTTTTAGAGAACCTATAAATGCGAGTGAGTGAGTAGGAGGCCAGAGTAGGAGTTACCTTCGAAGAAATCTTGCAAATGCCATTGCGTTGGAATATTGAAGGACATTCTGAATTGGGATTCTCCAAAACGTCCATGTGTAGATAAGGACCTATAAATGCGAGTGAGTATAACTCCCTTCGAGAATATGTTATGGTTGACATTGCGTTGGAATATTGTAGAACGTCCTAAAATGAGATTCTCAAAATGCCCATGTATGGATAAGGACCCATAAATGCGAGTGAGTAGGAATTCCAAATAGGGTTTCCTTCAAAGAAAACTTGTCTATTATTTTCTAAAACATATTTTCAAATTTAAATTTCATTTATGTTAACGTATCTATTGTTCACTTCACTTTTGCCCCCCACTGTAGATGCATATCACACATTTGCCTCATATTTAGATATTACTTTTAGATATGAAATAATAGCATCGCGGAACACTATCGCCATCATCTTTATTATTATTCCCATTTACATCATCGGCTATTTTCAGCATTGCATTCAAAGCGATAACTAGATTTTTCTTTTCGCTTTTGCATGCTAATGTGAAGTTTGGGGCGGTTTGGTTTTTTTTTTCTTATACGAGTATTGCCTTGCATTTTTGTTTATGACGTTGATATAATTTCAGATTTTTTATGTGGCCCCAAAAACCTAAAATATGTTTTTGAAGTCCATTATGTTTTTTTACAACCATTAATGGATTTTGTTGAAAACATAATCAGGAAAAAAAATTGGAAATATTTTGAATGACCAATTTCTTGCATTAAATTTTAATTGTTAGCTAGTTGTAAATCCAACACTCAGAATAAAGAAGTCAAACCGGACTGTAAGTCATAATAGTCTATAATATTCAAAATTGAAAAGAAAAACCAAAGATCGCATTGTTTGGAAATCTACTCTTAGTTCGGCCTATGGGACAAATGTTCTGAATTGGGACACATAAATAAGTAAGAAGCCAGCCCCCAGATATACAGGTGGTTCCACAGAGATTTCTTGAAAAGGGAACATATTTCGTATTGGGGTTTCAAAAAAGAAAAAAAATATCTTCAACCAACTTCAGACTGCTGTCATTTCTAAGCCACTCGACCGACAGCTGTTAAAATTATTCCAGCGACACCTCATTATATTGTTAACAAGCGTTTTAGTATTTAGTGAGAATTTTCCAGAAAAAAGTTATTCGTAATGGAATTCAAGCCTGATAGTGTGATTTCTTTATATTTGGCTGGAAAACCACAAGTGGCTATCGTTAAAGCGCTCCAGCATTTAAATATGAATAAATCTTTTGTGTCTCGTACCATCGCTCTTTATCGTGATACTGGTAGCGTAGCCCGACGTCAAGGAAGTGGACGGAAGAAAACAGCAACATCTGCAGAAATGGTTCGAAAAGTAAAGAAGCGACTTGATCGAAACCCGCGTCGCATTGGCCACAAAATGTCTCGTGAGCTGAACATATCGCAATATTCCTTTCGGCAAATATTGACAAATGAGCTCGGGGTAAATCCATTGATATTCCAAAAAGTGCAAGAACTTACACCGCAACAGAAAGAAAAAAGACTCAAAAGAGCTAAAGAGTTGCTTCCCTTGGCCGAAAGAGGTGACCTGCCCAATTTGGTTTTCTCCGCTCCGATGAGAAAACGTTCGTTGTCCAACAGTGTTTACTTGCCAAAGAGGTCAGCTGAATGAGTGCACCTTCGATTGGCCACCAGAGTTCAAACGCCGGTCATGGTGATGGTGTGGGCCGCTATAATAGCCGATGGTCGCTCTCCGCTCGTATTAATCAACCGTGGCATCAGAATAAATGGCGAATATTAACGCGAAAATATTCTAGATAATATTCAAGAATGGTTACAAAATGAGGTTCCTCGCTTCATTTATAGCGCACAATGGCCACCAAAATCTCTGGATACCAATCCATTGAGTATTTTGGAAAGCAAGGTTGGAACTAAGAACTACCAAAGTGTCCCGGTAATGGGCTAAAATACCGCAGAGCAGCATTCGGGCAGCGTGTGACGGTTTCATTGGCCGTTTGAAGGCCAGAATTCGTGCCAAAGGTGACGAATTCGAACAAATCTAAACTTATTCTAAAATTTGATGCTATTTCCGACATTTTTATACCCTCCACCATAGTATGGAGGGTATATTAAGTTTGTCATTCGGTTTGAAACACCTCGAAACACATTTTAGACCCCACAAAGTGCATACATTCTTGATCAGCATAAAATTCTATGTCGATTTAGCGATGTCCGTCTGTGGAAATCACTCCAGCTTCCGAACGAATTGAAGTAGTTTGATAAAATTTTACTCAAATGTATGTTATGTCTGCAGAACTTTTGGCATTGAAAATGGGCAATGTAGATCCATGTTTTGATCTAGCTCCCATATAACGGTACCTCCCGATATTCGGTAATTTGATGATTTTAGCGACAATATTCATCGAAACTGTTTCAAATTTGGTATTTGAAGTTCGTAATGGATGTTACAGCCTAAGACGGAAAATTGTCTGTGCATGTCCACGTCTTCGTATAGCCCCCATATAATTGTACCCCCCGATATTCGGTATTTTGATGATTTTAGCTACATTATTCACCGGAATTGTTTCAAATTTGGTATTTGAAGTTCGTAATGGATGTTACAGCCTAAGACAGAAAATTGTCTATGCAAGTCCAGGTCTTCGTATACCCCCCATATAACGGTACCTTCCGATATTCGGTATTTAGATGATTTATTCAACGGATTTTTTTCAAATTTGCTATTTGAAGTTCAAAATGGATGCTACAGCCTAAGACAGAAAATTGTCTATGCAGGTCCAGGTTTTCGTATAGGTCCCATATATCAGTACCACCCTATATTTGGCATTTTGAAGATTTTAGCTACATTATTCACCTGATTTTTTTTTTCAAGTTTCGTATTTGAATATTGTAATGGCTTATGACAAAAGTTGCCTTTGCAGGTCCACACCTTCGTATAGACCCCAATATAACGGCTATATTTGGTATTTTTAAGATTTTAACAGTTTTTTTTTTTTTTTTTTTTGAAATATCCCAATTTTATTCCAAATGGTGCAGGGTATTCAAAGTTCGGCCCGACCGAACTTACTGCTTATTTACTTGTTTTTTTTTTGTTTTGTTTCATTTTTCTTTCAAAATATTTACGTCATCATCTGCATATCATGTCTTTTTAAAGAATATTTTATTTTTGATTTTTCGAAATAAACAGAGCGGAAATATGAACTATATTTTCAGAATGTTTGCGGCATTTTTGCAGCATAAGCCAAAGTAATGGAAATAAATAAAAAAAACTTAAATTACAAATTTGGCAAGAGGCCAAATGCGAATAGCCAGAAGTAAAAAATAAAGAAAAGATAATATTTAAACAAATTAAAAAGAAATGTAGGAATGGTTATTAACTTGGGGATTAAAAAGAAATGTAAAAAAATTAGGTCGTTATTAAAAAATTATAAAAAAATATTTTAATATAATATTAAATCATAAGAAATATTTTAAGAAAAAAAAAATAAATTTTAGTAACATTTTATTGTTAAGAAAAAAATAATAAAAATTAGGGAAAGAAGCAACTACTTGAAGAGTTAAGAAGATAATTATTCAAAAATTACATTTATTGAAAATTAAAAGAAAATTTATTATTTTGTTAAAAAAATCATGCCAACATAAAATTTGTATAGAAGAAAAAATTAAATAAAGTGAGGAAAGCCGTTTTTTATTTACAATATTTTTTTGCAAAATTATTTACATTTTAAAGAGGCTTTAGTTATTAAAAACATAAATAAAACAAATGCAAATGCGTTTTTTTTTGTTTGTAGTGGTGCTTGATGTGTTAAACAATTATTTCTGGTTGGTTAAGGAAAGCAATAGCAACAACAAGAACTGAATTTAATTTGTTGTTTTGGTTTTTCAATAAAAAATGGGTTAAATAAAAAAAATGTGAATGCGAATTTTTATTTCGATGATGTAACAAATAAAGCACCCATACCACTTACTAGGTTCATAGACTCCTTCAGGCGCTACAGAAGAGTTTTTCGAATTTTGATTTAGATTTTGGATTATTTTAATTTTTTTTTGATTGGCAACGAATTTTTAGTAGCAGTTGATTTTTCATACATTTTTATTGGTGGGTGTAGAAATAGTGGGTGTAGTTGACCAATTTGGGGATTTTCGTTGATTTTTGAAACACAATTTTATTTTTTTTTTTTGGTTTTAAAAAGAAAACATAAATGTAAAAACAAAAAAAGGGGGGAAAGAAAAAAAAAGAAAAATGTACATGAAATAATATAAATAAGTAATTTTTTATAGATTTATTTTTTTTTTTGCTACATAAAATTGAAGCTAGTTTTAGCAAAACTTGGGATTAGGCCAAAAATGTTATGGAACCAAATTTTCCTTGGAAAGCATTAGGGCCAGACTGCTTCCTGTTTTTAATTTTTTTTTATTTCATTTTACGTTGTTAAAAAAATTTTGCATTTGCTAAAATAAGCTTTGAAAATAGTTGGCTATATAAAAATAAATATTAATATAAAATGTAATTTATTTATTTATTATTAATTGTTGAAATTTGCACAAGAGCTAAAAGGGAGCTGCTGCTAATATTTGTATTATTTACAAATACTTGAGTTTCAGATTTCTTTTTGTAAATGATTTTTAGTCACATTTGCTTGCTAATATTTGGAGAATTTCTAAAGACTAAACTAAAGAAATTTTGACATTAAATTTTTTTTTTATTAATTATATAAAACATATATATGCCTTGCTTTATGTATATTTATATGAATAGAAGAAGAAAAAAAAGAAGAGACTAATGCAACTCAAGAATAATTGTATATATATTTTTGTTTCTAACTACTAAAATAAATTTTAATTGGATTTTTTGAGAGAAAAGAAAAATATAGGAAAATTATATATTTGTATTGTTGCTAACTACGCAGTATGAAAAGGGATTATTTACAAACACCTTTTTCAAATAAAAAAAATAATTTTTTAATATTTTTTTCTAGTAAATGCAACAAGAAAAGAAAACCTATAACATTGATTTTTAGTTGAAAACAGCAGCCAATTCTTTGTGTTATTTAAATTTTTGTTTATTTTTTATTTTGTAACCGCAAAACTGCCCTTTTTTAATTAAGTTTTTTTTTTTTGTTTATATATATAAATTTTATTTAAAAAAATCCCTTCACCAAAAACTAAAAAATGGGTTTTGTTTTAAAACATTTCTTTTCAATTTGTAACACAGAGGGAAATAATTTAACTAAACTACTTAACATTAAATATCCTCAACACATTGGGAGTTTTTTACATAGATTTTATATAAAATTAATTTATTACTTTTTTTTTATAAAAAATACATTTTTTTGATAGGGAGACAAGTAAAGATTTAAAGAAAACCAGAAATAATATTAAATTAATTAAAAAAATATAAAATTTGTTTGGGGAAGCCCTCCAAACGTGATAATCGAAAAATATTAAAAAAATTAAATACTCAAAAATAGGGAAGGAGAGTAGGGCTCATAAAATGATAAGAGCCTCCATCCAACAAACGTAAAAGTTTTTTATTTTAAATGTCTTCCTACTTATGGCGAAGTCATTTGTTTTTAGACCAAGATCACCGAGCCACTAGAAATGAAGTCAAAAGTCAACCCATCAAAAGACCTTTTACTGAAGTTGTAACCATGGCAGAATGGGCCCAAGTGGAGTTCAAATTTTGATGGGAAATCTGCCTACCTACAAGAGATCTCCTGTGGCCCAATTCAACTCCATCTAACTACATGGAAGTGTGAAGGTGAAAAAAATAATAAAATAGAAACAATATTTGAGCTATTCAAGATAGCGAAGCCCCCGTAACATGATAAGCTCCCTTCAATCTCCAAAGGAAACGATTTCACACAGAGGATTCCAAATGAGGAGGAAGAAAATAAAATCCTATCCAATGATAGCAATAGATGAGTGAGATGAATAGAGCGGAATTGCCTACAGTAGAGTCCAAGTTTTTATGTTACGTAAGCCTTAAAAGTGGGGAATCTCATTGGAATTCGTCGAAGTTTAATGATTATCGAACATATAGAGGACTTATCATGATATCTGAAAAAAATTTCAAAGTCCGGCGGACCCTGGAAAGACATCGACTCGCTCTTAATAAGTCCCTAGAGGACTTATAATGATACCTGAAAAAAGTCCGGCGGACCCTAAAAAGACATCGACTCTCTCTTAATAAGTCCGACAACGAAGTCATGGTCCGGTTGCCGGAAATGGAGTTCGAGGGAACCAAAATTCTTGTGAGGTTGGCCTTGCAATATCTTATGTTGGTTTAAAGCCCTCGAGAATTTCCGAAATCAACCGGAATTATGTCGAAAGGTTCTTATGGGTAGGTCGACGACAGAAAACGGTTCAACAAAAAAACATCACCCATCAGAAAATTCCAAAAAAATCGTATCAGAGTCTCTTTACCTAAGTTGAAGTTCAAAGGTCCTTAAATTCCCGAGTTCCCAGCTTGATTTTCCTTTTTTCGTTGTCAGTGTGCCAGATCTGCAAAAATTTGGAAGAAAGCTGCCAACAATTTGCTTAATAAAATTTACTATGACCTTCCCCTTATGCGTTCTATGCCCGTTATCCTCCTGCGATCATGTTTTGCAACTGGGTGATGTGGCTTATCTGAGTAGATTAAGGAAAAAACCCTACAGTGGTGTTTGCCAGTATATGCCTGTTGTGTGATGTCCCAGACATCCTCAAAGTGCTCCACACATAGAGGGTGCCCTTTCCTGACAAAGTCTACAAGAGATATTTTTTTAAAGCCCTGTAACGTATTTCAGGCAGGAAATGGCAACTTCTTATTCTCAAATCAGGGTCAGGCAGGTACGAGTGCTTTTAATGGGCATTATTCCCTCCGCACAGCCTCGGTTCTGCTCTGGGGGGAATGGGAAAAAGTACAATAAATTCAAATACTTCGGTATAGTAGGAATAATAACGAATAAGAATGAGAACGGTTCAGTGGCTTCGATTCGAAGAAACCTCTTAACATAGAAATGTTGAAGCTGAAGCTCCAAACAAGTTGCACTATTCTGAAGTAAAGGGTATCGAAAGTGTTAAGACGAAGGTTGTGGGAAAACCATGAGGCACGTCAAAACCGTGCTATAGCGAAGAGACTGACTTTCAAAATAGTGATAGTCGCAGCATTCGATATATCCGATAGTTTCTAGATTGAAAAATATCGATAGTATCTATCGACACTATCGGTTAATAAATATAATCGCTATAAGGACGTCAATTCTGTTATCATATTTCAGGATTGTAACCATCTGTGTTGTTTTAGTTTTCCTCTTGGAGAAATTTTGAGAGGTGGCCAGGGAAAACCCAGAGAGAGAAAAGATAATGTTGAACTAGTCATCAGTCTGAAAGCAAACTACTAAGTCGAAGACGTCTGAAGGTGGTTGAGGTTTGAAAAAGACAAATTGACGTAGACAATGTCAAATTTCCAACACGAGAAAGTGTTGAATGACCACAAAAACGGTGTCATTATCCATGGGTTTGACTGAAGTTATTAATTATAAAATTGGATTATAATTGTGGCTGGGCAGGGAGGGGATTCGATTTTGAATGAAGTTGAATAAACTTGCCCGCATTGTATCACATGTTTGTAATTAAAATTAGAACTTTAGAATTATGAATAGAAAAAGGGGGAAGGAAGGGAAGTGGTACTCCAAATATTATACAAATTAAATAAAGTCTAAAATAAAGACCATGGAGAGAATAACTCTATTCCGATTATAAATATAAGGCTGATATAATTTTGCTATATATATATTATCATCTCTCATACTTGATGGAAATATTCATTTAATTATTTTCTGGTTTTCTTTTGCAAATCTTTACTTTTACAATAATTTTTCTTTTCAAAGACATTAATTTTCTAAAACCTAATTTGATATATTTTTCAAAATTTTATGAAAAACAACAAACAATACTTACATCTTCGGCCATCGGTTACAACCTGTTCACAGTCATCGTAATTCTGTGTTATGGGGCATTTGTACAGGGCACCCGAGTGATTGGTGCCCGGCTGTAGATTTTTGTCCAGGGGTGCGCCAACAAGAAGCCTGCAAAGAAATTGGAAAAAAATTCATTAAAATTCAATTTCATTCAATTTTGAAAATTTAATTTTACAAAACAAGATAAAGTGCCCTCAATAATCCATTCTTCCAGCGGCCAACTGTTTTTTGTCATTTTAATTATTTTCCCATTCCGGATGAAGTATATCCCCCCATCCATATTTGGGGTATTATTATGAGGGGATTATTGCACATGTTCAGGGGTGAGGGGGAGCACGGTCAATCCCTTTTGATTGAAAACAGAGTGTGAATGGGCTGTTTAAAATCACAGCCGAACAACAAACAATCCCACTTGTAATGATTTGAAAAAAAGATAAATTTTGAAAATGCATCAAACTTTGTTTGAATGGATGGTTGGTTGGTTGGTTGGCTGGCAGTGTTGCCAAACATGTTGGCTATTTTTTGTAGGTTTTAGTTTGGATTTTATTGAATTGTTTTTGGAAATGGAAAACACTTGTGAAAACAAGTTTTGAAATAACAATTTTTATTCTTGTTCGCCAACTGACTAAATATCAGACTATATAAAAAATGGAGGTGTTGTTGTTGCTGCCGCCGATGTTATTATTACATTTTTATTGTACACATGTTTTATTTTTGGGATTATTATTATTTAATGGATATATTTGGGCGTATGACTGGCAGACTGGCTGTTTGGCAGGCCAGACCGTCTGGCCGTTTGCTTGGGCAAGATTGGCATTTTAAAATTTTGGATGGAATGTGTGTGTGTTGGCAGTGTTGCTGGGCAGGCAAGAAGGCGACTCTGGGCGACGATTACATTACTACATTTAATGAATGGCCAATGCACTTTTGACAGTTGCCAAACAACGCGCAAGTGAGTTACTGCGTGTGTGTGTCTGTGCGGCGGCTGTTCTCTGTTGCAACAAATGTCCATCATGGAGCAAATGCTGCCACTCATGTGTCATGTGGTGGAACCACGCAACAATTTCTGTTATTTTAGGTACTATGGCCAAATGTTACCCTTTTGCTGATCTGGGCAGGTCTTTTTATGGGCAAGACAATGTAATTATTTTATTTTTTTAAAGAAATATATTTATTTTTGTCCGAAGCTTGGCCATACCAAATATCAAGTGCTACCTCCTTTATTTTGAACTATTTTGAATTGTACTATTATTATGAGATGATGATGGTGTCTTTGAAATTGATTAACAAAAGCAAGTGTAATTAATTATAGGCTGCTCTATTTTTTTTTTATTTTTTGGGTTGTTGTTTTTTTTTATGTAACACCATCAATTTGACAACCATCATGATCCGCACCATAGCCATGATAATAAAATTCCAAAGAAATATGAAGTTTAAAAAAGACAAATTGACGAAGACAATGTCATATTTCCAACACGAGAAAGTGTTGAGTGACCACAAAAAAAACGGGGTGTTTATCCATGGGTTTGACTGATGTTATTAATTATAAAATTGGATTATAATTATGGCTAGGCAGGGAGGGGATTCTATTTTGAGTAAAGTTGAATAAACTTGCCCGCATTAAATTACATGTTTATAATTAAAATGAGAACTTTAGAATTATGAAAAAAAAGGGGGACGAAAGGGAGGTTTTACTCCAAATATTATAGAAAATGCTCGACTCGTCTCTTCTATCGCTCGATACGAAGTCGCGCTCCCCCGCTATTGTGCAAATCAGGTAATCTGTCTGTCCACTATTATTTATTATTATTATTATTAATAAATACGGCCTTTGCCATTATTCTTAAAACTAAAACCCCCCTATTGTGTTTTTATTTATTTATTGGTTTGAGCCTTGCATATTTCCCCGCATTGGCGCAAACAGATAAAGTCTAAAAAAAGACCATGGATGAAAGAAGAAATCGGATTTTCAAACAAAGAAATTTGGCCACGTTTTGCGCCAATGTCTGATGCAGTGGAAGGATAATAAAATTTTGTTAAAAAATATATTAGAGAAGAATTTGGATATCAACTATAGAAATTTGGCCACGTTGGGTGCCAATATCTGCAGTAGAAGGCTGATATAATTTTGTTAAAAAAAAAACATGTTAGAGAAGAAGCTTTAAAAGAAGAAGCTTTAGCTTTAAAAATTTAAACACTTTGAGCGCCAATATTTGATACAGTAGAAGGATGATATAATTTTGGTAAAAAAATATGTTAGAAAAGAGGTCGGATTTTCAACTATAGAATTTTTCCCTCGTTGTGCGCCAATATTTGATGCATTAGAAGGCTGATATAATTTTGTTAGAAAATATGTTTGAAAAGAGATCGGATTTTCAAATATAGAAATTTTGCCACGTTGGGCGCCAACATTTGATCTAGTAGAAGGCTGATATAATTAAAAAAAAAAAAAACATGTTAGAGAACAAGTCGGATTTTTTACTTTAAAAATTTAAACACGTTGGACGCCAATATCTGATACAGCAGAAGGATGATGAGGAAAAATATGTCAGAGAAGAAGAAGGCGGATTTTCAACTATAAAAATTGTGCTATGTTGGGCGCCAACACGTGGTGTAATTTATGCCCTGTCGGCAAAAAAAAAGATTTCCGCCTAGAGAAATTCGCTAACATTGGGCGCCATTTATGAATGAGCCATCGTGAGTATAATTTTGTGTTTCATTCGGTTTTGTCTGTTTTTGGCAACTTGGACGCCAGTAACAAATGTAATTTATCACCCTTTTTGGTCAGGAAAATATAAATTCCCACATAAAAAAATGGGTTTGCGTTGGGCGCCATTTACAATTGAACCACCATGAGTAAAAATAGTATTAAGTTCAAATAAGTTAATTTTTTTGCATTGGCAAAATTTTATGCAGCTGCTTATCACCTCCTAGAACCCAATACAACCCAGTTTTGCCGTTAATTTGGCAAATAAGGTGGACATTTTTTTTAAGCCACAGAAACCCCAAATGCCAAAAGAAAATTTATTGTTGTTGAACTTGAAAGCAATCTCAACTTTTACTTTGGAGAGAAAATTTGATATACGACATCAAACACATTCAAACTACCATCATACTTTATTGGTATGAGATTTGTTGGATCCTAGTTTGAAAGCCACAGAGTAGTATGATGATTCTTTTTTTTTTCATACGATGGATAATAATATTTTTATTTGATATGGCCAAAACCTGTCTCATAGGCCTCCTTGGACCAAATCCATTGTAGGACATTTGGAGTTGATCTAGCTATGTCCGTCCGTCTGTCTGCTGGCTGGTGCGCACGATAACTCTCCAAGGGAGTATCCAATTTGGTCCAAACTTGGTATATCCTAATATTATTATCAAACTTAGACCGAGTTCGGAGATGGCCAATATCAGTCTTCCCCTTCTGGTACCTCCGAAACAAAAAGTAGAAATTTCAAAAAAAAAGTACTGCACAGAAAGAGAAAGAATAATGCGCTTTGGCTCCAACTTTCCAAATCCTAATATCTGCATCAGTGCTAGGTTAGGTGCGAAAATGGACAATATCGGTCCACTTCATCAAGTACCTCTCCCACAAAGGGTCAAAATTTTGAACAATTATAACTCCTATTATCTTCATCTTACATACATCACAATATTTTTATTAACTCAACGTCTGGTGTGAAGATGAAATATATCGGTCCACTCCTTCTGGTACCTCCCCCACAAAAGGCCAAAGTTTTGAACAATCAAAACAATTATAAAATCCTAAATAAGCATCCGGTTATCTTTATATATTTCACACATCCAATTATTTCTGCTAACTCTAGATCTGATGTGAAAATGGGATATAACGGTCCACTCCTTCTGGTACCTCCCCCACAACGGGCCAAAATGTTGAGTATCCTTGAAGCTCCAAAAACGCGTAATTAAGATCCGATTCCATTCAAACTTGGTACATCTCAATATTTCCATCAACACAAAATGCGTTATAAAGTTGGTGGAAATCGGACCTTTTCTTCCAGTACCTCCCTCACAAAGGGTCAACGTTTTGAATAACCAAAACGATTATAAAATCCGAAATATGCATTGGGTTCTCTTCTATATTTCACACATCCCATTATTTTTACAGACACTAGATCTGATGTGAAAATGGAACATATCGGTCCAATCCTTCTGGTACCTCCCCGACAAAGGGTCAAAATTTTGAATATCCATGAAACTCATAAAACGCGAAATTAACATCCGATTCCATCCAGATTTGGCACATCTAAATATTTCAATAAACACAAGATCTGTTATAAAGATGACAGAGATCAGACCATTTCTTCTGGTACCTCCTCCTCGCAATATTTATAGTATAATTCACAATATTGGCCATACCTTCGGAACCTACTCCATAGAGGGTCAACATTTTGAATAATCATAACAGAATTCAAAATATATTAAAATAATCGAACATTGGCTGAGGGTATACATCTGTCGACAAAACCGAATTTTTAACATAAACTGAAAACCATGTAATGTTAATTTAAGTTCTATTTTTTAAATTGCAAATGTCCATTCTTACGGTGACAAGAATTTTCAAATTTGATCCAATTTCAATAACAGTTCCTGCTTTGTTTCCCGGTTTTAAAAGCCGGCGATTAAAATCAACATTTCATTTTCTGGACCGTAAATGTGTTTTCAAAGTGAATCTTCTTCACTTCATCTTCATTTAATTTCTGAGGTTTTTTCTTCTTCTCTTACTTGTCCACATAAAAATGTGTCCAGCCGACCGGCCAGCCAGCCAGCAGTATGCCATTAAATCATGAAACTGACAGTGGAAGCTTTTTTGATGTGGTTAACATGCGTGTTGCACTGCATTTCGCATGTTGTCTTGTTTTAACTGGACATCGAGGAAGGGGATGAGGAGGAGAGAAAGAAGCCAGCGCAACTGAATATTTCGACAAGCATTTGACGTTTTTGCATGTCATCTATTGACAATTTGGCTGCTGTTAAGACGTGTGGCAGGTTTGTTTGGTTGTTGGAATCAAGATGAGGAGAACATGTATGGGTAAATAAATAGCAAGAGGGTTCTTTTTATTATTCCATTTCTACAAAAATGT